TCAAAATTCCTTATTCTTAGCCAAACAATGGTTATTTACCACATTTTAGCATTAAATGTCATGTTCACTCATGTTTTACTTGTTGTTGTTAAGAATTTTGTGTACTAGTTTAAGCTTTTTCTTTTAAATATGAATAAGCATTACACTCTATCAAATATATGTACTAAGATGACCAAATAGTTTTTAATTTTTTAAAATTTATATATGTATTTTTTTTAGGTGTAAGTGCTCAGTCTGCATGTATACCTGCAGGCCAGAAGAGGGCATGAGATCCTATTATAAATATTATAAGCCACCATGTGGTTGCCAGGAATAGAACTCAGGACCTCTGGAAGAGCAGGCAGTGCTCTTAACTGCTAAGCCAGCCATCTATCGAGCTCCATATAACTTTCCTTAGGAGTATTAATGTGATCAAGTAAATAGATGTTTCTAATGCTACAGTATTTCCAGGTACTGCCACCCACCCCTCCAAAAGTCTACATGCCCAAGATGTGTTATTTTGTATCCAAAGATTTGCTACTTTCATATTTAGATTTTTTTTGCCATTTAATCAGTTTTATAGCCCTAGGATTAAGATGATACTTCAAAGGAAATAAGGGGCTGGAAAGCTCTTTTTCTAGTTGTTGAAATAATTTTATATAGAATATGGATTATTAGAGGCTAGAGAAGTAGTTTAGTGGGAGAGAGTGCTTGACTAACATGTTGCTTAGGTTTGGTAAACACACACAGACACACAGACACACACACACACACACACCGCCCACAGGTGGGGTTGGGAGTGAGGGTGCGGGCTATTTGATCCATACCTGTGATCCATATCTGGTTAAGTGTTTGTAGGGTCTGTTTTTGTTGTTGTTTGTTTGAGACAAGTTCTCACTACGTTTACAGTGCTGATCTCAAACCTACATTTCTCCTGCCTCAGTCTCCCTAGTGCTAGAATCACAGGTATCTGTCTGTGGAGCACACAGACCAGCTCTGCAACGATTTTTTATTATTTCAAACTTGGTAGTTCTACTCAGGATTTCTATACCTTCTCCAATAATTTTATAATAAATTTTAATAGTTTTATTACTACTGAGTGTGTGTGTATGTTTATGTGGGTGTGAGCTTCATGGTGCCTGTGAAGTCAGAGGACAACTTCTCTCCTTCTACTTTTATGTGGGTTCTGGGTATCGAACCCCGATGGCCCAGTCTTCTTATGTATCAAGCACTTGCCCAGCTGAGCCATCTTGTAGGTCTGATATTAATTACTGATAACTTTTAATTCATTTATTTTTGGTTTTATATTAGCATAAAGTTCACTGTCTATTATAGTTTAAAAACAATGTCAGTAGTACTGCAGCTGTGTCTAATACTGTGAAAGCCATGTCCTAACATTTCTGTGTGCATTTTCTTGACCAATCTTACCACAACCTTTACACTATTGATACCAGAGAACTGGTATTGAATGAATAGTGTTAATCCTTACTTTAAAAGAGAGGAAAAATGGAGAATTCCTACATATATGCTGATGGACCTAGATGTTAATTACAAACAAAAAAATTCTTTTTTCAAGACAAGGTTTCACTATGTATCTTTGGCTGTTCTGGAACTTAACTCTGTAAACCAGGCTGACCTCAAACTCAAAACAGAGATCCTGCTGCCTCTGCTTCCTGAGTGCTGGGATTAAAGGTATGTGCCACCACACCTGACCTACAAACAAAATTCTTAATTAAGAATTGAAAATGAAAAAAAAAAAAAGAATTGAAAATGTAGCTGGGCGGTGGTGGCGCACGCCTTTAATCCCAGCACTCGGGAGGCAAAGGCAGGCGGATCTCTGTGAGTTCGAGGCCTGGCTGGACCGACAGCCTCCAAAACAATACAGAGAAACCCTGTCTCGTAAAACCAAAAAAAAAAAAAAAAAAAAAAAAAAAAAAAGAATTGAAAATGTAGAAACAAATAAAATTGAAGGTAAAAATAACATTGACTACCAAGTTATACTAGAGTAGCTTACTTTTTCTTTCTTGGAATTTCTATCAATTAAGAACATGTTTAGGGCTGGAGAGATGGCTCAGAGGTTAAGAGCACTGGCTGCTCTTCCAGAGGTCCTGAGTTCAATTCCCAGCAACCATATGGTGGCTCACAACCATCTGTAATGAGATCTGGTACCCTCTTCTGGCGTGCAGGCAGAACATTGTATACATATTATTAATAAATAAAATCTTTAAAAAAAAAAAAAAGAACATGTTTAACAAATATTTTCAAGATAACTTGGGACCAGGGAAATATGAGATGGATGACAGTACTTTCAGCAGTTTTATAACTCTTTGAATAGATACACTCAGAGAATATTATTAGCAAATAAAATAAACGTGTGGAAGATTTTTATTGTTAACCTATTTAGCATTTATTAAATTTTAAATCTCTTTTTACAGTGCTAGGAATTGAATCCAGCAACAGAGTAAGATCCTATCTGCCCCCCCACTATAGGATTAAGTGAAAATATTTTACATAACATCTTTGCTAATTATGGGTATAAAAAGTATGCTTATCAACTCTGCAGACAACCCAAAGCTGGGGGATGGGGCGTAGTTCAGCTCTATAGCATGTGCATAGCATGGTCATGACCCTGGATTCAATAGAGGGAAGAGAAGAGAGAACAAGCTGGAAAAAAGTTTCATCGGTATAAGGTCATGTTCACCTATTTACATATTGTCTATGGCTGCCTTTGAGTGGCAGAACTAAGTAGCTGTCATAGAGTATAAAGCCTAAAATATTTGACCCTTTATAACCCTTGATCTAGATGTATTAACATTTAACTGGCTTGATATATGACAAAATCAACACCAGACAACACTGTCCCAAAGGTAAAATTTTAAATGCTAATATAGATTATACTAAAAGTTAAGCTAGTGCCTGCCTGGCAAGCATGATGCCCCAGGTTTGATCTCTGGCACCCCAACAACAAAATACAATTTAAGAGGTTGTTTGTTGAACACCAACAAACAAGGGGCCTACGTGTACTAAATGCCAAGGCACTATACCAGCAAAGATTAATACAATCTATAACTGAAATTTGGTTCTTGTCAAGCTGATAACAGACACACAGTTAGTAGCTGGGTGCTACCAGTGTGATTCACATCTAAAATACTGTGTTCGGTGCTAAGGTAGAGTCTTTTAAGGACATTATGAATTTCCATACTGTTTGGGGGAGAGAAGAAGTTCAGGAGCATGTCTCCCTCCCCAGCACACACAAACAAATAAATGTAATAAAAATTTTAAATAAACCATTTTTTAAAAAAAGTTACAGTGCCCCCTCCAGAAGTTCATGTACTAAAGATGCATACCCTCTGCCAAGGATGACAAACAAATTTGTGGTGTGTTTTCTAATTCTACTTTTGCTATATGAATTGACGTGAATGTCTCAAAGCAGGATAAGGGATAATCAACACATTTTCCTGTCCTAATAAATAAATAATAAATGTTAACATTTAGGAAAATGTTCTCATATTGATGTATAAAGTAGATGAATGAGATACTGTATGTACTCTTCCAACGTTCAGTTCTTTTCTTACCCCATTTTTAAGTGATCTAAAATGTCTATGCAGACAACAAATGAGTGCTTTAATACATAATGTATTTCATACCTCCTAGACACACCAGTATCTGTCCTGTTAGACAAGGAAGAAAGGGGCAGAGACTGGATTTTCATTAAGTTTTTGTTGCAATTAATCAGAAAGAGGCAAACCAAACCCGAGTTAATCCATGAAGCCAGGTTTCCATAGCTCCAAGATGCAGGTTTGGGAGGACATGCTTGATCTAAGTAAGCATGAATTCCCTCAGGCAACTCTCTACCAAAGTGGTAAGTTCTAGGGAACTGTCCTTTCTGTGTTTTCTTCTCCCGAGTACAGTGTGGCCGTTCTGGTACTTCTTTCAGAAACCCTCTGAGTCAAGTCCTGGGTTGATTTTCTTGTTGGCCAGCATCCTTGGCTCTGAGTGCTCTTACATCAGCACGCTCCAAATCCTTTCCTATACCATCCACTGGTAACTCTTGTGTGCATTTAAAAACCGGTCATCCTCTGTCTCCCAGGGTGGCGGCCCAGACAGTCCTCTCACCTCCACCGTAAGCCCCAGCCTCAAAAGATTTAAAATAGCCTAAATGCACCTACATCGACTTTAAATATAATTTGTAAGTGTTTGAGTTTGTACGATGTTGATGATGTCTTACATTTGAGTTATTTACTGTGATTTGTAATTGTTCTTCCTTTTGAGGGGTCAAAACATCAGGTTACTACAAGGTTCCTGGGGAACCAGGCCCTCGTCAGGATGCCCTCTCCCAGCAACGTCGCCGCACCTTCCGCGGTCGCCTGCCGCGTGTCCCTCACAACCGCTCCCTTCCCGCCCGCATCCCTCCGCCCGCCTCGCCATCAGACTCCCACCTCTCCGGTGCCCGCCCAACGCGCAGGGCAGACCCACTCGCCTGGGCCTCGGGTAGCTCCGCGAATTGACCGTCGGCTCGTGATCCCCTCTGGGTGCCCCGCGCCCCGCCCCGCCCCGCCCCGCCCCGCCCCGCCTCGCCCCGCCCCACCCCCGCCCTACCCCGGCCCCCGCGGAGTTCCCAGGCGCGCTCCCGGCGCAGCTCCGCCCCGCCCTCTCCCGGCACTGGACCCGCCCAGATACGCCACCTCGCTCGAGCTCCCATCCTTAGGATTACCCTTACCCTGCTCCGCCACGCCTCGGGGGCGGAGGGCCCCCCCGCAGAAGTCTCAGGGGACACGCCCCCGCGCGGGCACGCACGCGCACCGTCCAGCCCCGCCCCTTCCACCCTTCCCGCTACTACCCAGCTCTCTCAGATTCACTGCCCCACCCACTCTCGGCCCCGCCCCTCCCCTGACCCGCCCACTTCCAGACCCGGCCCCGCCCCTCATGCCGGCCCCGCGCACGCGCGCCTACCCAGCCGAGGCCTCCCCCCGCCCCGCTGGTCCCCGCGGTCCCGCGGCGCCAGGTCGCCCCCAGCCCCTCCCTCTTGCCACCCTCTGTGTGTGTCCCACCCTCACCGGCTTTGTGACCTAGGTGCCGAGCCGCTTCCTGGTCAGCCGCGCTGTGGAGGAAGGAGCCAGCAGTGAGGTGCTGCCGCTCGCTGCCCCGGGCAGGGGCACAGGTAGGTGGCGGCCGCGGGCCGGGCCGCTTGCCGAGCCTCGGGCAGCGCGTGGGGGCGGGGGCGGGCAGGGTGTGAGGGGCTGGGGGAGGGGAAGGCCCTGGGGACGAGGTGGAGCTGGCAGAGGGAGAGGTGGGAGGATGAAGATGCGGGGGTGTCTGAGGTGGGCTTGAGGGTGGGGTCGGCGGTGTGTGGGGTTCGTCTCGTCGTGAGAGAATTAGGGCTCCGGGCGGGAGAGGGGACGGATTTAGCTTGGGTGAACTTGGGGAGAGGCTTGGGAGTGAGTGCTGGGGAAGGGGTAAAAGAAAAGGGGTTGAGGCGTGCACGGAGGGGCGGCGGTAGGGTCGGGATGGGGGGAGGGGGGAGGTTTGGGGGCTGGGAAGAAACGAGTTGCGGCTGTGGGTTGTGAAGTTGGGGAGAGGGAGGCGTGAAGAAAGGGGATTGTGAAGGTTGAGGACGGAAAACCGAGAAGGAGATGGAGAGACGAGGGGGCTAAGAGGAATCCCGATGGTGACAGGAAGGGAAGAAGGGTGAGGGAGAGGAGGATGGGGGCTGGAAACGGGCGCGGGGAGGTAGATGGAGGTGGGACTGAGTCTGTCGGTCCGGGGCCGAATTTTGAGGGTACAGAAGAGTCTGAAGTGTGAGAGAGATGGTGGAAGTGCTGAGAGTGGTGAACGGGCAAGGTTACAGTGGGGGTGGGGATTGGTTTTTTTTTGGTACGAAAAGCTAGAGTGATGTTGGAGAGATTAGCTTGCTCTTGGGGAACATAGGGGCCTGGATGTGACGTGAGTTTCTGCAGCTTGGGGGAGAAAGCAGGTAGGGAAGTGCAAGTTACAAAAAAAAAAGAAGTTGTGGCAAATTGAATAATGGCGGTGACACAGAACAATGAAGGTGGATTGTTAGTTGGTTAAAGATAGTTTAGAACTTCTTTCTGTTCGGGTTTTATGTTAAGAAGTCTTTAAAAGCCACTACATTTTCAAATAAGCCAAGGTGTCTGTAGTCTTGATATGAAGGTCATGGGTTGACAGATGTTTTCCTGGTTTGTGGATATGGCGGATTTCTACTCTGGCCTGTCTCATTCTTAAGACAGCCCTGGTTCGGTTTCCACCCAGTCTTCCCTCAAAACTGCTTTGTTTTTTAATGTAGTCCCTGCCCTCTTGACACCCAGCTTGAGCCACTGTGCGAGTACCGGAGAGGTCAGATGGCCGGCAGGATTAATTCTGAGTGTTTTAAAAACATTTTTAAGGCTGGGTGTTGCATTTTTATTCTGAGGTACAGCATCATGCATGTGGAAAGATGATGTGCTTTGGAGTTTATACAGCCCTGTGACTGAATCCAGGTTGTGTCACTCAGCAGTTGTGAGCCTTAAGTAAGTTACTTCATTTCTCTGAGCCTCTTCATCCATTAAGAGGCAATCGGTGGCTGCATGACATCATTTTATGTTGTACCTAACAGTGCTTGCCAGCTGCTAGCTATGTAGTGCGTGCTAACTTTCAGTCACATCTGGTATGATTAGCAGCAGTTATTACTTTGGCCTATTTATTATTCTTAGGAAATTGTTAACGTATTGTTAAAGTTTGGTGTTCTTTTTGATTTTGTTGTTGTTGTTGTTTTCCTTCAAATTAGCCATAGACTCGGCTCAGTTTAAGCACTGTTATCCTGATGCCTTCTCTCTTCTCTCCCCACAGTTCACTTGACTGGGATAATTATCATGCTTTTTGCTTAGAAACTGGCTTCAAGATTTAAAAAACGGTCGTGTTTAGTTATTTTATCTTGTCTCTTATTTAAAGAAGCTGTAGACAACTGAGCTTCTAAGGTTGTTTCATTTATTTGAAGAAATGATATGCTTTGTGCTAACTTTAGCTTCACTGAGGTAATACGCTACTGTGCTGTGCTTGTATGCAGCTTCTCTGTGGTGGACTGGAAGACCCACCAGCCTGTCTGTCACTCTGTTAACCTGATGTATAGCTGAGATCTACACTGAACTTTGTTATTCTTGCAGATACATATTATCCAGTTTGAATGAGCTCCTCCCCCAAACAAATAAAAGCTCTGTCTCTTAAGGGGTCAACTTTGTAATAGGCCACCATGAACAATATTGAGGGGCAAGTCATATTTAGTAGAGAAGCTTTTACCCTTTATGGTTCTTAAAGTTGAAAGTTCAGACATTCATTTAATCCTTAGATCATTTTATAGTACCTCACAAACTTCTGGAAGCTCCTTATTAGGAGAGTGCAGGATGTTAAAAAAAAAAGTTACTATGGTTCCCTAAACTAGGGGTAGTTATTCAAATACTATGACTGAAGAAAGCAAACCCCTGGATTACTGCCTGGACAAATGATGTAGATTTACTCTTAAGGAAATTGAATATTTTGCCATTTAAAAGGAATGCCATTTGATGACTAGTCTAAAGATATGATACAGTCATAACAGCCCCCCTTTTTGAAAATGATCCTTGGAAGGTAAAGCTGGCAGGATTTGGGGCAGAGTAAGGGATTAGCTTCCAAACTCTGATCCCAACCTACTTGTGCCCTCTGCTGGATGGAAAGCACACTTCTAATTTTCATGAATCCTTGTCATCCATTCATTTCATTTTACTCCAAAGTTTATGGAAGGTTATTATTAGAGATGAGGATTAAGAGAGGGCATATTTGTAGAACCTGAGTTTTTGTCTTTTTTCCTTCCTTCTGCTTGTCAGCATTATGGCGGATTGGTCCACCAAGATACATAATCTTCCATAGGGTTTGTTTTTCTGTTGTTACAAGTTAGATCATTAGGCTAAGCATGGTGGCTTATGCCTGTAATCCCAGCACTTGGAAAACTGTGGTAGAAAGATTGCTGTGAGTTTGAAGCTATATAGTAAGTTTCAGTCCACTCTAAAATGGTGGTGATGATAAAATAAAATATTTTCTTTCCTTCATTCACTTTTTTTTTTGTCTGTGTATCAAATAATTTCTTTTTAGGGCCATACCTAATATCTCCTTTCTAAATCTTAGGTAAAGTAGCCTCTGAAGATCTACTCCTAAAGATCAAAGGATGTTTTCTTTTTCTCCTGGTTAGGATTAAGGTCTGTGAGGTTGAAGGGACCAAATACTTGCCCCTGCTGAAAGAGGCACTTAAAATTAGTGGTAGGGGGTATCTTTTGAGCAGCAGACCCTGAATGCTGGCAAGAGAAGAGTATGGAGTCTTAGAGCTGGCACTGTTGCAAGACTTTTCAAAACTGGCTTTTACTTTAGTTGTTTTGTTTTTCTCCCTTGGTAGTACCAGTAGCAATATAGCCCCATCATCTGCTCTGCTTCTACCACCTGCAGAAGGGCTGACAAGTGGGGGGAGGAGCTTGCAGCTGTTGCCTGGAAGAGGACTAGCTCCTAGCAACAATATCAGAGCACTAAATCTTCCCCCTTTGAGGTCTCATTCAGTTCAGCACATATCTGTTGAGTGCCTACTCAGTACTAAGCACTATGTTGGGCCTGAGTAAGAGATAAATCAAGTGCCTTTCCTTCAAAGACCTCACAGTTTGGGTACAGTAACAAGTGAATGTAGTACACAGGGCTAAGTGTTGTGTGAAAGGAAACACTGGGTGCTCTGGGAAAACAAGACAGACATGGACTGGTACAGGGGTTGGAAAAGTTTCCCAGGAGAATGGTGAGTGATGGTTGAGCTGAATGTTAATGATGAGCAGGAAATAGCTAGGTCAGGCAGAACAACCAAAAGCAGTAAACTAAGCCAATCGCAGTGGGTCAAGTGGATGGCCAGTTTACTCATGGAGTGGTGGTGGGGCCACAGAGCAGGACATAGTGGAGGAGCCGGAAAGACAGAGGCTCCAGGGCTAGGCTGGGCCCTGTTTTCTGTGCTACTTTATACACATAATTATTCTCGGGAGAAAAATGAATAGCAATGATTCCCACAAACAGGATCATTGTTTGATCTCCAGAGACTCAGCAGTTTTGTCATTCACTTAATTGTTTGCTGACACTTGTAAGTAGCTTCAGGGCCACACTGTAGGCTTTGCTACAGAAGTTGAGTTGGTTCACTCTTAAAAACCAGAGTCTTTGAGGGATAATTTCAGAGTCCTTCAGAAATATTGACAGGCCTACACTGTATTAAAACTAATGTTCTTTCCTTCTTGTTGGAGAAATGATAATCTGATGCCTTAGCTTTATTTAACATAGCAGTTTCTCATGTAATTTGAAGTCTCATTTATCCAAGAAAGCAAGCATTTATTACAACTAATTTCTTAGATGTATAATGTTACTAACATGACTGAAGAAACACCCAACTGCTTATTTTTGACTTACCTCAGAGTACTCTAACAGACCCTGAACAGATCTGATGTTCTTGAGGACTATAATAACTCTATTTAGCATTTTTGGGGAGGTGTCTTTATCTGTAAATTCAAATTCCATTTCCTGTTCCCTGTGGTTTACCTAAGGCTTATGTAGTGCTATAACATTCTCCCCAGGGACTGTAATATGCCGGAGTCCTGTTATGGAGTCTGGATGAATTAAATGTGGTCTGTCTTCTGTGTGCAAAAGCAGCAAAGACAGACCCAGAAGGAGAGCAATAGGACAGTGAGCCAAGTGCAACAAAGAGATGTGTGGGAGGTGCCAAAGTAGCAAGGGAGTTACTTCTATCTTTTTTCTGTGTGTAAACATTTTAATTTCAATGGGTTCGTAATATCCGATGAAATGGAGTATATACTATTTACTAACACTCCAGTATTGGACATTGAGGATGTTCCTATTGCTCTGCTAACATAAACTGTTACTTCTAAAAGAATTTACTTCTAAAAGGATTGTTACTGGCATTTTGGTAACTTCTGAGTGAGTTTTAGAAATGAAATTTGAGCTTGAAAGATGAATAGATTGCTAAATTGTAGAGAAAAGTGCAAAAGAGGCACTGCAGATACAAACAGTAGGTGCCTCATAGTGACAAATTTCTTAGCAACTGGTGAGTTGTGCTTTCCCCATAGTGGAGGATCATAAAGCTGTGGGCATAGCAAGGTCAAGTTCATGTTGCAGATAACATTTTAATTGGATTTGCTTTCATGTGCCTTGTTTTTACAGTTGAAATCAAGGCAATGGCTTACTACCTCAACTCAGAAACCCACGTGGATCCAGGACCCATCTATGTTCGAGAAAATGGGCAACTACACATGGTCAATCTGGCTCTGGATGGTGTTAAGAACAGCCTGCAGAAGCCACGACCTTTCAGACTCTTTCCCAAAGGCTTTTCCGTGGAGCTGTGCATGAACAGGGAAGACACTGCACAGAAGGAGAAGACTGATCACTTCATCTTCACATACACCCGCGAGGGGAATCTGCGCTACTCTGCCAAATCCCTCTTCAGCCTGGTGTTGGGCTTCATCTCTGACAACGTTGATCACATTGATTCCCTTATTGGCTTTCCTGAGCAGATTGCTGAAAAGCTATTCTCTGCTGCTGAAGCCAGACAGAAATTCACAGAGCCAGGTGCAGGGCTCAGGGCTTTACAGAAGTTCACTGAGGCCTATGGGAGTCTGGTGCTTTGCTCGCTGTGCTTAAGAAACAGGTGGGTATTCTCATTAGTATATTTGAGTACTTCAGTGGAGAACCCCGGGGCTTAGTGGGTTCATAAACTCTGCCATCAGACAGTACTTTCAATTTCAAACTTCAACATTCAAAGTACAGGCCATTTGGGGGGGGAGAGGGAATCACCAGGTGTCTTTCTTCATCTCCTACAACACTTAGTGTTTGTGCTCTCCCCTGAAAAGAAAAAAAGAAAATGTTCTGTAAGGATTGGGTGGCTGCCATAGCTTTTTCAATAGATAAAAATACTTTGCACCCAGCCTCTTTCTTCTTTTCTTTTTTCCTTTTTTTCATTTGAAATATGGTCCTGCTATATATTGCCCAGGCTGGTAAAGAACCGTTGGGAATGCCTGGTGGTGATTGAACATGTCTTTAATCCCAGCTCTCAGGAGGCAGGGGCAGGTAGATTCAAGGCCAGCCTGGTCTACAGAGAGAGTTTCAGGATGGCCAGGGCTACATATTGAGACCCTGTGTCAGAAAACAAAGCAACAAATAACAAAACACACTTGGGCTTAAACTGTCTTCCTCCTCAACTTTTTAAGTACAAGTGTATACCATCATGCTCCCTTGGAGTCAACTTTTGTCATACAGGAAAGTCAAGGTATGGCCTGCCAAATATCTCTTGGTATACCCTTGGGAATGTGAAGATTAATACTTAGAATTCTTGGTCCTGTTTCAGTTTTAAGAACACTAGATATTGAATATTAGATTAAAAAGTAACTAAAAAATATGAGATTAAAATACCAAACATCCAGCCGGGTGTTGGTGGCTCACGTCTTTAATCTCAGCACTCGGGAGGCAGAGGCAGGTGGCTCTCTGTGAATTCGAGGCCAGCCTGGTCTACATAGTTCCAGGACAGCCTCCAAAACAATACAGAGAAACCTTGTCTCGAAAAACCAAAAAAAAAAAAAAAAAGAAAAGAAAAGAAATCAAGAAAGAAATCAAACATCCTACAATTTGGAAATGCTCTGTTAAGTTTCCAGCACCCAGGCCTGTCTCCTTACAAAGCAGACTTTTCTTTTGTGACTGATTTGCTTTTGCTTGTGTACTTTTAGGTATTTATTTAAAATATGCTTTCCACTACCATTTAAGAAAACTTTGAGGACATCTGCTACTTTTAAAAGAGTAAAAATAACCCTTGCAAACAGTTCACATGTGAGCACAGAAGAGTGAACCATCTCTCCCATCTCCTGTTTCCTCTCAGAGACCAACCATTGGCTCCATTTTTTTTTTTTTTACTACAAAGATATTCTGAACATTTACATCTTTTTGTTTCTTTCTAGTTTGTCAAACTGGAAATGTAGATGATTACATGCTTTATATACCTATGTACCTTTCATTCTTCACAATTTGAAACTCATTTGTAATCAGTATTATAGACTTAGTATTATGATGTACCATCTGAACTTTTTCATGATTAAAAAGCAATTTGCTATTAGTTCATTTTTGTTTATGTGGTTGTTAAAGATCCAACCCAGACCTTATGTATGCTAGTTAAGTGTTCTATCTGAGACACATTTCCCCAGCCCACCAATTTACCATTAAGATACATAATAAATATGACCTATAAAATGAGGCCAAACAGAATTAAACAATAAAGAGAGAAAGCAATAACAGAAAATATAAGATAAAACTCATAAAACATGGAGAAAAACGTAACTAGTCTTCATTTAATTGGCTCATGGAGTTAATGACTTTACCCCAGGTCAGGTCTCATACATTACTTTCAGAAGACAAGGCCTAAGGACGCAGAACCTTGGACTAGCATGAAGCAGGCATTTCCTGAAAGCTCTGTCTGTGCTATGGCCTCAGTTATGGCAGGACATGGGACTGCTGCCAGTGAAAGGAAACCACTTATCTTGCTGGATGACAAAGCCAATTTATTCCACATTTTATCCCCCCTCCACCCCATTCCTTCCTTCCTTGGTAAGCTTTTGTACTAGCTTAGTTGGCCAGTCTCCTGCCTCAGCCTCCTGGGGGCTGTTACAGGCATCCACCTTTCTCTGCCTCACTTCTTTACTTTTATTCCAAGTTATTTATGCTTATTGTAGAAAATTAGAAGGGTGGAAAGTAGAATTATGTGTAAAAACTCTGTATTTGGGAATATATAAAGCTAAAATTAAAAAGTTCACAGTACTGATACAGCAATAATATTCAAATACACAGTTTTAGTCACTTGAGAGTTTATGCTCTATAACTGGTCTTCTATTTCCCTTCTTTCCCCAGTTATCTTTACAGCCTAAATATGTTCCATGGTTTTGAAAATGCTATTTGTTCCTATTTTTCTGTTGTATGATTGGTTAGACTGCGAAAATATCACTTTAATTCACATTTGATGAGCATAAATAATGTAACAGCTCCAGTACCAAAACAATAACATTAAGTGTAACATTTCTGGAAAGTAGTTTGGAAGTAATTATTGAGAGCCCTAAAACAGCCACATGATTTGTTCAACCCATGGTTCACTTTGTTTGGTTTTTTGAGACAAGGTCTCATTGTGAAGCTCTGCTTGTACCTCAATGTAAATCCAGTTGCCCTCAAACTCATGGGTAATCCAACTCTTCTCTGACTGACAGTACAGGCATATACCACCATGTTTGGCCCATAATTCTACTTTTTAAGACTATCTCAACAGGTGTGATGATCACCCTATGAAGTAACATCTATCTTACAGGGGAAATTTAGGCTCCAAGAAGGTGGCTATTGCAAATGATGTTACACAGTGAGAGGCGTCAACCTTCTTGTTTCTCTTCTTATTTCTGGGCCTGCAGCAAAGACAAGCTGAAACTTGACAGAAGACAGAGCCTCTCTTGTGAGCCCAGCTCTGATGGTACACAACTGCAATTGTAGCGCTCACAGGGCTGAAGCAGAGGGCCCAGGAGCTTATGGCCAGCCTGGGCTACATAGTGGGGTCTTGTCTTAAAGATAATTTTCAATCTGGATGTGGTGCCCACACCTTTAATCTTAGCACTCAGGAGGCAGAAGCAGGCAGATCTCTGAGTTTCCAGGTCAGCCTGGTCCATATAGAGAATTCCAGGACAGCCCTGGACTACATAGTGAGATCCTGTCTCAAAAAAGAAAAAAATAACATTTAAAAAAAAATCTATTAAATCTATGTGATACCAGTATTCTTTGCAGCACTATTTGTAGTGGTGAGAAGCTGAACGCTAGAGAATTTTTCAGACAGATTATGGTACCAATTAGATATTGAAGTTAAGATAATATTCTAAGATAATTTAAATGATGTAGTAAATGTTCAAAATATGATAAATGAGAAAAATGAACCTAGGCAAAATGACTCATACCTGTAATCCCAGCACTCAGGACACTAAGAGAGGAAGATTGCAGAGATTTTAGGCAAGCTAGGGAACTAGTTATGTAACAAAACCCTTTGTTCTACAATTTAAAAAAGGGGGTTTTAGGCAAATGGTTTTTTATTATTTCAGTTTTTCAAGACAGGGTTTCTCTGTAGCCCTGGCTGTCCTAGAACTCACTCTAGAGACCAGGCTGGTCCTGAATTCAGAGATCCACCTACCTCTGCCTGCCAAGTGCTGGGATTAAAGACACATATCACTATGCCCAGCTGCAAATGGGCTTTTCTAAAAAACTGAATTATTGTATGTGTGAGCAGGTACATATATGTATGGTGTGCCACGACACACATGGAAGTTAGAGAACAACTTTATGGAGTTAGTTATTTCTTTCTACCTTTATGTAGATTGTAGGGATTTTGCTTCAGTCCTGAGAGTGAATGGCAGGCGCTCTACCCACTGGACCACCTTGCTGGCCAGATCCCTTTTTTTTTTTTTTTTTTTTTTGAGAGAGAGAGAGGGTTTCTTTATAACCCACCTGACTGTCCTGGAAGTCACTTTGTAGACCAGGCTGGCCTTGAACTCATAGAAATCCACCTGCTTTTTCTTCCTGAGTGCTGAGATTAAAGGCCGAATCCCATTTTTTTTAAACATTTTTTTTTTCATGTGGTACTGGTGATTGAATTCAAGGTAATTTGGGATGACTTTTTTTTTTTCATTCTAACCCTAAATTTTGTTTTAAAAATATTTTTGTATGTTGACGAAAGAAAAGAACCTTCCAATGTCTATGTAGAAATATTGCAGTTGGTTTTACTTTTCTTTGTACTTTTTGTAGTTTCTTAATTTCTCCCCCATTTACCTTATGATCATGTATTAGGCTTATGATAAAATATAGTGAACATTTCAGCGTAATCTTTTGGATCGTATTTTGTTAAAGTAATTCCAAACTTTGCATTTTTATTAAGGTACAAGTGAGTTTTCAGTTGTGACCTAAACTCTCCTTTTGACTACCCAGAAGAATATTAGAGTAGGAGCTGTGGGGATGGATGTGTTTGCAACCCAGAGATGCTGTGGCAGAGAGTGTACTGACCCTCAGGCAGGTGAGACACTTGTTTGTGGTCTTGGTGGCAGGCCCAGAAGCTGCCTGCCCAAAGGAGAAGTCAGTGTTTTTACATCTGGGCTGCAGCCAGACAAAACTCCTCCCTCGTGTTTTAATCCTAATGGTGGTCACAGAAAGTAAGTATATTTTCCTTAAAATATCACCCTATGTTAATCAAATAGTAATAATCACTTTAAAGGGTGGTCCATAGGCCCCCATATACGTCTTAAATGTTTGGTTTCCTTAATTCTGAAAAGAAAGAATGGGAAGATGTAGTTTTAATAGCTGGAAAAATTGAAGCTCAGAAGGTTATGTCATTAAAGCTGGGGCCAGCAGGAGGCTCAGTGGGTAAAGAAAGGCACTCACCTCCCAGTGATGCAAGCCTGACAACCCGAGTTACACCTGCATCCCACATACACACGGAAGGAAAGACCCAACTCCTCTCATCCTCTCACCACCCCATCTCTGTGTGTGTCTCCTCTGCCTCTTCCCCCACAATACAGTAAAAAGATTTCAAACTCAAGTCTGACACTAGAATATGTGTGTGTTCTGTTGTTTCTCTACTGTTTGGGCCTTTGAAAGTTGTTTGGAATGCTAGCTGTCAGCAAGAATCTGGAGCCTTGTATCCTACATTAGCATTTAGTATTGTCTATGCCTAGAATGTTGGTCCTTAGCCTTGAGTTCCATAATATTTCTTAACCATGTTACACAGTCTTATGTCCTTTCCTTTATTTCAGAATTACTTAAAATCTTTCTTGGTAATTGATCAAAGGATGTGTGTTTTCTTTAATTGCCAATAATCCCCTAAATCCCTGTTAACACACTTTAATACTGTGATTGGAAGGTAGAAAACAGCTTTATTCACAGTGTAACCACAGTAGTCTGAGTAAGTAATGGTTACTTGTGTTCCCAGATGAGCTGTCTCCAGGCATTTGAAACTTGTCAATTTAAAGAGGGTCCCAGTACCTCAGACTGTCTACCTAGTAGGTCAATTTGAGTACCAACAACTTCAGGTGCCTATAGGAAGGAGAGAATTCGACCCCATTCTTCCCTTCTGAGTGTCCATCACGTGTTTGGCAGTTAAGCTCCAGCTAAGTGAGAGAGCTGTACTCTCACTAACCCTAGCATACTCTGCTGCTGTGGAAACGTCCAGGCCTCCAAGAGAAAAGTAGATGAGAAGTAGATGCTCTTGCCACTGTCCAGCTTTCCTGGTATCTTAGGAACCTTTCTCTCCTGTTCCTGTCACACCTAATCCCTTTCATTCCCCCCACCCCCAACCTCATTAGAAATAGATGAACCAACTAGAAGGCAGGGCAGAACCCAGCCAGGCTGTTGATGCCATTTTGATCTCCTCCTCTCCAGAGGCCTCCCTGATGCTTCTGATAACCGTTTGGCAAGGTGCTCCAGTGTCATTAAGTCACTCGTGTTCATAGTTTGTCTCAGTAAGCATCTAAATGAGAGTCTTGCTGCTACATACTTTCGGGTAGTTAGGGTAACAGCTCCAGTGGTGTAGACAGGTGCTCAAGCTTGAGTTTCGGGAAGAAGATAAAATGTCATCTGCCAGATAGATAGCTTTTGAAATATTTTTGAGTATATGCAGATTAAAGCTTGGGCTCATGCCTATAATTGAGGCAGGAGACTTAACGAGTTCAAAGCCAGCCTAGATTACAGAGGCTCAAAAAGAGAGAGAGAGAAAGTAATTGAAGTTTTGAGTATACTAAAGAGTTTGGAAATTCTCAGGTAAACTCGAAGCACTACCACTGAGGTCTGACTCAATACAAACTGGATGTTTTCTCTTGTGACTTGCCTTTGCTCATACACTTCTGTTTGTTCAGAATGTCTATTCCACTGTCATGTACAAAGTTTTCTAAGGTATTTATTAATTAGTCCAACCCATGTGACACAGTCATCAGTGATGTGAACTTATTACATGGTACTCTGGGATGATGGCATGTTGACTGTACCACAAGGTCACAAATTGAAAGTTCTGAAAGATAAAAGACAAGCTATTGATTGTTCTTCACACTGCACAGGTATTTGGTGATTGCAGAAAAACTTGAAGAGATCAAGTCTTTCCGAGAGCTCACCCGACTGGATCTTTCCTGTTGCAAGCTTGGAGATGAACATGAACTTCTAGAACATCTCACCAATGAAGCTCTGTCTAGGTACCAGCCTGTTGTCACTTTAAATGATTGTTTTATTTTTAAAAGAATGATCCAATGGGATCATCTTAAGGATTGCCACTTAGTTTTCTGTGTTTATGTGCTAATTGTTTTTCTAAAATGTTTTCAACCTCTGTTTACTTGGTGTAACAATATAGATTGGATATAACTTTTAGGAAAGATAACTGATTTGTTCTTTTTTTCTAATTAACCTTTATTTAACCTTTATTGAAACCATCAGTATTGAAAAATATTGTTCCTTATTTGCCATTCCTAGTTTATTATAGCAAGAGATAAAAAATCGGGGCTGGAAACCTGGCTCATTGGGTAAGGTCACTTGTCACCAAGCCTGATGACCTGAGTTCATTTCCTGGAACCCAGGTGGGGGAGAGAGAGAGAGAACCAACTCTGTTGTCCTCTGACCCCCACACTTCACCCTGGCAAATGCATCCTTCATACTGTCCACCCACAAAAAACAAATACATGTAATAAAAATTTACAAAAATTTGGGACTAGAAAGACAGCTCAGTAGTTAACAGCACTTGCTGCTTTTGGAGAACACCTGGGTTCAATTCCTAGCACCCACATGGTAGATCACAACCGTCTATAATTCCAGTTCCTGGAGATTCTATGCTCTCTTGTAGCTTCCACAAGTACCAGGTACACACATAGTGCGTAGACATGCATGCAAGCAAAACACTGTACACATAAAATAAATTTATTTTTTAAAATTTATAAAAGTTCAAGAAGAGCAAGAAAGGATAGTTGGAAACAGAACATCAGCTTAGTAGGATTTGGGTGGGCTTTTATAGTATTTAGAGATGTTGATATTTTATGTTTTTGAGTAAAATGTTTCAAATCATGTTCTCAAGCCGTATTTAAGTGATACTTTTTATGGACTTTGTTTCTCTAGTGTAACTCAGCTCCACTTGAAGGATAATTGCTTATCTGATGCAGGCATTCGGAAAATGACAGCACCAGTAAGAGTGATGAAAAGAGGCCTTGAGAACCTAATGCTGTTAGACTTATCTTGTAAGTTATGGGGTGTTAATGTCTGAGAATGGCTTTAGGGTCATCATTTGAGAGGATAAAAGGCAAGCTGACCTTCTAGGAGCCATAGCAGTCTAGTGACAGGACTGAAGCCAGTGACTCTTAACTCCTGGCCCAATGCCTTTAGCATCATCCTACCCGGAGGAATATGCTTTTCGGATTTCCCATGCCACTTGGTGCATAGCCAGCTGGTCCCTCCTGTCATGTTAAGAGCATACATAAGAATATCTGTTTGTTCTCTGGTCACGATATCTGTCATGTAGGTTCTTTTCATCAGTATTTATCTAATAAGAAGCTGAAAAATCCAGTCTTGTGGTAATTTAAGATTAACCAGATCTGCTGGGTGGTAGTGGAGCACGTCTTTGACCTCATCACTTGGGAGGCAGAGGTAGGTGGATATCTATGAGTTCAAGGCCAGTTTGGTCTACAGAATGAGTTCCAGGACTGCCAGGGCAGTTACACAGAGAAACCCAATCTCAAAAAGAAAAAAGATTGACCAGATCCATTGGCTCAACTGGTAGGAAGTGAGCGGTTTGAGAGTCCAGTAACACTGTCTGTGGCAAGGTGGGTTGATTCCAGTGAATAGAAACAGAGGACAGTTTTGTACCTTTGGACAAGCTACTTGATTTCTCTGAGTCGTGGTTTTGGCCTCTGTACAGTAACGTTGTTGAATCCCTGGCATACATCCCAGGGATGTATTCAGTAAATACTTTCGAGCATCTGCTGTGTAGCTGGCACTGTGCATGGCATCCTTAGAGAAAATGGGTAAAGCAGCACTCTCTGACGTAAGAAGGTAATATGTAAGGAAAGCTCTGGAAAAACAAGACAGTCCCTTGTTTATAAGTATCTTGGAGGTCTTTTCAGACTAAATATATGCCTTTACTGCAGAGGTGAAATGGTGGTGAGCAGAGCATGTGAACCATCTCGTTAGTTTCATGCAGCTCCAAATGGAGTTATTTGTGAAAACTGCTCCATCACAGATTCTGCTCATCCAAGTCCTAGGCAGTTGGAGCTGTGAAGGATCTAATGTGGCTGCTTCATGTTGTAAGCAGAGAAAATAAGACCCTTATGTTGAATTCGCTCTGCGGAAGGAATTCACCCACGCTGTACTTTATAGCTTATTGTTTGTTTGGGTGTCGTCACCCCCCCCCAGTCTACTGTGGGGGTTTTACAATTATGACAGAATGTTTCCTTATTTTTGACATCTAGGTAACCCTGAGATCACAGATGCTGGAATTGGATACCTATTTTCTTTTAGAAAACTGAATTGTTTAGATATCTCTGGAACAGGGCTAAAGGTAAGGCTTTGGTTTCTTTCATTTTCACAGATTTTATGATTTGTTACTTTGCTTCTATTAATTGGTGTTAGTATTCTTGATGGCCTTATTTTGTTTTGATTTTTTGAGATATAGTGTTACTATGTAGCCTTTCCTGGGCTTGAATTTCCCATGTAGCCAACCTGGTCTCAAACTCAGGACAATCCTTAGCTTATTGAATACTGGGATCACAGGCATATGTCACTATGCCCAGGTGATTCTGGTGTTTTGATCCCCCTCTCAGTCTGCCTAGTTGGAATTACAGGTGTGTACCAACACCCCTGATTTATGGTGGTTTTTGCTACTCATAGCAAGTAATTTGTCTCTGGTGTTTCTCCTCACTAGGACATCAAAGCCGTCAAGGACAAGCTACAGACACACATAGGCCTTGTTCACTCCAAAGTGCCTTTGAAGGAATTTGATCATAGTAACTGCAAGACAGAGGGCTGGGCTGACCAGGTACTCCAGGCTTTTCACTACAGCATTTCATTTTTATTTTAGGCACCTAAAAATTGAATAAACATTAATTCCTTTGATGCTTTTGCCTCAGGTGTAGTCTTCACTCAGTCAGCAATGGTGATAGACTGTTACTGACCCATCTACCTAAGGAGTTAGTACTGGATGTCAGATCTCAGTACTTCCCTGCTATGGTTAATAGACTGGGCATCATGCCTAGAATGCTATCATAGTCTACAAATGATTCAAGAAATGAGTAAATTATGGCTTTTATGCAAAAGAAGAAGTAAATCTGATCTAACTGTGCTCTTAACAGTGTGCTGTACTCCAGAGAGAATTAACTAGTGTCACACTTTAGGGTTCAAATCTGGCTCTTCTCTTTCTTTTGGGCCTATTTCTTTTTCCATGGCCTTAGTCAGCAGTCTCTTGACCTTTCTCTCTCTTGACGTCTGCCAGTGAAAGAACTGGACTTTGATTCTCTTGACTTCATGTTGCCCTTCTCCAGATTGGTAAAGTACAGCATTGAATAGAAAGTCATAAAGTTCCCAGTGGATAGCAGCTTACCTGTGTGGGGCACCTTTCCCCTTCAGATACTTAACTGTTGTTTCCTGGTGGAAGCATGGAAGATCCCTCCCTGGCTCTGAGCGAGGAGGCATGATGGTGAACCTGTCCAGCTACCTGAATATGTCATCATCTCTCTGTAGATAAGGGAGACCTGTGTCAAGTGTTTCAGAAGGACCTGGAGCCAGCTCCAGACTGGGCATAATGCAGTAATTGCCAGAGTGGAACCTAGGTTGCATCCTAGGTGCATCTAGAGGACTTGGACACATGGAATGCTCTTGCCAAAACCTCCTATAGGTTTGTAGCAAGGGACATGGTAGAAAGAGCGTAGGTTGTAGAGTCAGACAGATTTCAGAGTTCTGCCTCATAAACCCAATAGCAAAAACTAGGATCTTTCTTTGGGTTTGGTAAAGACCAAGTAAAACACCTAATAGTGTGACCTCAAAGTAAGTTGATTGGGCCAGCGTAGCTTCTTGCCATCACCTGGGACCTCCAGGGCTTCAGAGTGTTTTCCTGCTAATCCTATCCAGGAACTCCAGCCTGACCCATCTCTGAAGAGGGAGGCTGTCTAACAGGAGCCCACTTCCTTTTCTGTCTCCAAATTCCTCCACTTCTCCAACCAGACTCTACTTCCCTCCTTTTTAAAGGAAACAATTATGCCAGTTTATTTCAGTGGTAAGCCCTTCTTTAGTTTTTCTTTTAGTCCTAATCCTGAAGGCTTTCAGCTTCGGTGTCATATTTATTTTATTTCCCTTGCTTCCTCACCACCACATACCCAGTATCACCCTCTGGTGGTGATTTCTTTCTGTATATAAATGTCAGTTATCCTTATTCTACCCTCAACCCAGGGCAGCTGTGTTCTGTTTGTTCTTAGTTCTCGTACCTCTTTGCTGCCTTTCTTTGTAGTCTGGTTTTAGCCTGCACTTGTGTAAGTGTCTCTGGAAGCTGCCAAGTAGCCCAGTGTTTACCTTCTGTGGCTTTATGTGACTTCTACTATAAGCATGCTTGCCTTAAGGTTTTTCTTACCTAATTCCTCTTTCTTTTCTCTTTTACACCTCTATTCCCCTGGTGATCTTAGGTTTCTCAGTATCATGAAAGGATGACATCTAACAGAAACTATATGTATTCCCAAATATTATCTACAAGTTTCTTCCTGATACTTCAGAGTCAGTTTGTTCAAACTTGCTTTCTTAGTCTGTATTCGCAGCTAGCCCTTCTGTTTCTGCTAGTGGAAGGACCGTATCTGTATTTCCTACAAAACCACCAAATTGATTTAGTCCATCTTGGCTTTCCCTTAGATCAGTGCTCATTTTCTGTAACCAGAAAATACCATTGAAGGATCCATCACTAATATATTCCAAGTGCAATCCTTATTAACAGCCCTGTGGAATACATGCCAACTCTATGTAACACATCAAGACTCAGAAATTAAATCTAAAGCTAAGGGCTCTCTGGCTAGTAAATATGTTCTTCTGGTTTGTGATTTTGTTTGTTTGTGTCTTAAGTCTCACTGTGTATCCTAGACTGGGCTGAAATTCACAATTCTGGAACTACAGGTGTCTCTACCATGCTAGGTCTGTATTCTTACTGCTTGAAATGCTCTGTATCCTGCAAGTGTTTTTCCTCATTTATGGTCATTATGATTGTTGCATTAGTAAGAAATTAAATGCAAAGTCCTTGTTACTCAAAATATGTTGAAATGATCATTTAATTTTCATTCTGTCATGTTTAGTTTATATTCAGTCAAATTTCTAAAAAATTAGCAGTAGCGAATAAATTGCATTTGTAACAGTTAGAAATAGAAATTGAAATGCTATGAGGATATAGAAATGTGGGCATTCTGCACACGTAGGAGAGATGCATTATTACAGATTGGTTTCAAGGCATAGAAGGGTCTAGGGATATGTGAACAATACTGTAACTAAGATTTTAGTGTTTAGTTTAAAGATGTGCGATTCATGCAGTTGATTTCCAGCTTGGAATGGAACTGGGCAGGAGTGGGCTCAGCAAACTGACCTGCCTCACATGTATACATAGATCCATCGGATTATCGTGCCCAGTCTGACTTGATTCTTATAAACAAAATTTATCAATGGGTTTGTGTTTCAAGAAATGGAGCAAAAACTAGCTCAAAGGTATAGTGCTTGCTTCCCTGGTCCAAAAAAAAAAAAGAAGAAGAAGGCAAAAAAGGGAAGAGACCAAGGGGGAAGGAGAAAAGTTTTTGTTTGGGTTCAAATCTTTCCAAATTCCTTTTAGATCGTACTGCAGTGGGAGCGAGTGAGCGCGGAAGCTGTGCGGCAACGGAAAGATGGAAAGGCAGCTCAGTACTTCTGTGAGAAATTCTTTGTTTGGGAGTTTTTACCCTTGGGTTTACACTCTTAAAACAGCCTGTCTTCTCTCTATGGGAAAAGTAATTGTAATAGTATTATTTTATTTATGACCACTAAGACAAACTGTTCCCTAAGCACCACCATCAGGAAGGTTGGTCTCATCCCAACGAAGACTTGTAGCAGCACAAAAGAAAACAGAACATAGACTAAGTGTCACCAACAGGTGGAAGCAACTAGGGATGTAGTTCAGTGTACAAAGGTTGCCTAGCATGGGCAAGGCCCTGGTTTCAATCTCAAACACCAGAGCAAAAAGAGAAGTGAAACCCAAGTGCCCGGCAACAGATGATGGATAAACAGGATGCAGTATTTCTATACAAGGGAGTGTGATTCAGACTTGAAAAGTAAGGACATTTTGGCATAGGAAGATGGCCCAGTGGTTAGAAGTGCATACTGCTCTTACAGAGGATCTGAATTCAGTTCTCAGCAGCCATGTCAGGTAGCTCATAACTGCCTGAAACTCCATGTCTGGGGAGCCCAACATATCTGGTCTCCCCAGATGCCTGCATTCATGTGCACATACTCATACAGTTACATACAATTAAAAATGATGTTTTTGTTTTTTTAAGGTAAGGATATTTTGACAGTGAGTCTTGACGACATGTTACATGAGATAAGGCAGTCATGAAAGGACATATACTGTATTATGAATGTTCTTTTGTGAGCTTCCCAGAGCATCAGGTTCATTTGAAAAGGGTAGTGGTTGGAGAGAGAGAGAGTAGGGAATTACTGTTTAGTAGTTACAGACTTTTAGTTTACAAGATAGAGATCTGTGGGTTGCTAAGATGGCTCATTGGGTAAAAGTGCTTACCATGCAAACCTAGCAGCCTGAGATTGACCCCAACTCCCAAAAGTTGTCCTCTGACCTCTGCACATGCACTGTAGCACATGTGTGTGCACACTCATGTCAAATCCACAAGCATACAGTAATGTGTATAAAGTGTTCTGGAGGGCAAGGGCTGCAGCTGTTTCCTAGCATGCTAAAGGCCCTGAGTCCATCCAGCTCTGAAAAGAGAAAGGTTCCGGAGATAGGTTAAAATGGTGAATTCTGTTGTGTTTGTTTTGTCATTTTAAACAAGATAAGGAAACAATGGAAGTGACAAAATAAGAATCCTAGGACAGCTAAGCATTATGGTGCACACCTTTAATCCCAGCACTGGAGAGGCAGAGGCAGGTGGATCTCTGTGAGTCTGGTCTACAGTGTGAGTTCCAGGACAGCCAGGACTGTTACAGAGAGGAACCCTGCCTCAAAACAAAAGAATCCTAGGACATAGAAGTCACTATAGGGACAGATCTTATTCCTCGGAGAATAGTCAGGTCCATGTTTTGACCGGAAAAAGGAAGCCAACAACTTGTAAAATTTGAGAGTGTGCCTGACACTGACACTTTATATATATAAATATATATATAATATGTATATATATATATATAATTTATTTCATTCTAGGTTTTGTACTCATAGGAAGTTGAAAAAATTGATTCTCGGGGTATTAGACTCGTTTAAACCTAGTAAGCATCTTCTTCTCTCCCTCTGCTGTGGTAGTGTATCTGAGAGCCCTGCTGCCAGGCACTCAGCCCAAACTACCCCGGGACCTTGTCTTAGTCCTAGGCAGTCTCTCAGACTTTGGCAGGCCCTGGCTCACCAGCCCCTTGATACCTTGGTACTCTTACAGATCAAAAACGAGCTCTCTCAGAAGCCTCAAGGAAATGTCCTCTGGCAGACACCCACATGAACTCTTCTGGAAAACTCCAGTTCTATAGAGAGAAGGTTCCAGACTGCCATGGGCCACTATTGAGTCAAGAGTCAAAGAAGAGCAAGAAGAGAGCTTTCGAACAATCAGAGCAGGAGCAGAGCGCGCCACAGTCAGCCAAGCAGAAGTGTGTGTGTCTGGCCGTGGAGGACTGGGACTTGCTGAATTCCTACTGACTGACACTTACAGTCAGCCTTTCCCTCATCTCGGCACATGAGGAGGAGAGACTGCTGGTGATTTTCTTTTGGTTTGGATTTACTTATGGCATTAGCATAGCAAGCAAATATTTCTACTTTTGTGGGGGAGGGGGATGCCATGAACGTATGTAATAATTTCTAATGTATATTTTCAATACATAGTAATTTTTTCAAATAAACTCTTTTGCTCTCGTTGAGTTCTGCTTGTGGAATGCAGATTGGAACCACAGGAAGTAGCACCATGTGAACTAACAAGTTTGGCATGATTTGTCCCTGCTACAGTTTAGCACAGCTGACAGAACACAGATGTGAGTGAAGCTGCCGCTGATTTAATGCTGCCCTGGGCCATGCCCTAGCCTCATAGCAAGCATAGATAAAACTAACTGAAATGTAGAGCCACAAACATGCAACCTTGAGTTAAGTGCCATGTTTAATGTCAGAGCTTACAAGTAGAAGTTAGAGTTTATACTCCTTTCTAGTTGGCTGCAAAGCCCATTCTGTTAATGTTGCCTCTCAACAGTAGTTAGCATTTATTGAAATTCCAGCCATTGAGGGTATTCACTAAGACCCAAGTGACTCACAACAGCCTTGGAAGTAACAGGCAGAAGCTTTTCCATCTTAAGACTTAATGGAAAAAGGACCTGGAAAGATGGCTCAGAGGGTAAGAACATTAGCTGGTCTTCCAGAAGTCCTGAGTTCAATTCCCAGCAACCACATAATGACTCACAACCATCTGTAATGAAATCTGGAGCTCTCTTCTGGTATGCAGGCAGAATACTATAATAATAAATAAATCTTTTAAAAAAAAGACTTACTGTAAAAGGCCCAGTAAATTTTTCAGGCCATAAGCATTTGTTACAAATATCCAGCTACACACAGTAAATAAATATGGCTGTCTGCCAATACATTTTTGTTTACAAAGGCAGGTGGCTGGCAAATTAGCCAGAGTTTGGGTGTATGCTACCACACCTGGCACGTGGGGGTTCTTGTTAAAAACCAGGTTCCCTTGTGAGGACTGTGCAGTTGAGGCAACTTAGCAAACATCAGCTTGCTGGAGGTGGTGTCACATCCCTTTAATCCCAACACTCAGGAAGCAGAGGGAGGTGAATCTCTGAGTTTGAGGCCAGCCTGGTTTACAGAGCAAGATCCAGTACGGATGACCAAGGCTACAAAGAAAAACCCTGTCTCAAAAAGAAAAGAAAGTCAACTTGAACAGGTCAGCTTGAGTAAACCTAAGATTCAGAATTTCTAGTTGAGCACAGCATATACCTATCATCAAAATTTGGAGGTGGAGGCAGGAAGATCAGGAATTCAAGGCTAGCCTGGGCTACATTACAGGAAAGATTGGCATTTCTAGCAAGCACCCAGATGATGCCAGTATTGCTCGTTTGCAGACCCTAGCTGTATGAACACTGGACATTAGCAAAGACTTCATCAGGGTATTAATCTCATCAGTGGATTAGCCCATTTGTGGGTTTATGTCTTAATGGGTCAGGTTTGGAATCTGTTAGAAAAGCCAGCAGTTGAGGCAAGCAGCTTTCTTTCATCTTACATGTGGGGTAGCCACCAGAGAAGACTACTCAGACATGGATTTAAGCCAATAGGAAGTTTGTCTTAGCTGGGGACACTGGACACTTTGTGTCCAGGATCCACATGTAGCCCCAACCCTCTCAGAGTGAGCTTTTAAGCATAAAAACCATGTTCTGGGTTGACATACTTCAGTTATCAGGAACAGTTGGCCAGAAACAACTACAGAAACCAAAAGGCAAAGTTAATAGATTTAGGACTTTGCCAGTACTATTGGCTTTGATAGATTAGGTCTTTGTTTTAGTTTAGCAGGTGGTGCTATCTGTGTGCTGAACTTTATGACCTGAATGATACTTCCATCATGGAGTCAGTTGTACTAAGGTCCAGGGCCTATTAAGGCCTGGAGCCCTTACATAACATACTCTTATGTTACATACTCTTGCCTTGGTATCCTGCCTTACCACAGGCCTAAAAGTTCTGTCAAGCAACTGAACTAAGACTTCTCAACTTTGAGTCCTAAGTCCTCTCTTGGAGAAAAAAGGTGAGTGTGTGTGGTGTGTGTGTGTGTTAAGGCACACATGGAGGTGAGGGGACAGCTTTGTGAAGTCAATTCTTTTATGTGGATTCTGGGAATCAAACTCAAGTCAATAGGCTTACACCCAAGGTGTTTTACCCCATGAGTCATTTGGCTAACCCTTTTCTGTTTGGTTTTTAAGACAGAATCTTACTGTGTCATCCATACTTTCCTAGAACTCGATGTGCTTGAAATTAGGACTGAATTCAAACAGCCCTCTTGCCTCAGCCTCCCAAATGCGGGGATAACAAGCATGTGTCATTATGCACACTCCTAACCTTTCTTCTTTGAGTTGGTTTACCACAGGTATTTTGGGTGTTTTGCTACAATGGTCAAGAGCTAATGCAGTCCTCTGTTGCTGGTGGGACTGCAAACTTGTACAGCTGCTGTGGAAATCAATATGATAATTTCTCAGAAAATTAGGGATCAACCTACCTCAAGACGCTGCAATATCACTTTTGGGATATACCCAAAGGAGGCACATTCACACCACATGGACACTTGCTCAACTATGTTCATAACAACATTATTTGTAATAGACAAATCTTGAAAACAACCTATATGTCCCTCAACAGAAGAATGGATAAAGAAAATGTGGTACGGGCTGGAGAGATGGATCAGTGGTTAAGAGCACTGACTGCTCTTCCAGAGGACCTGAGTTCAATTCCCAGCAACCACGTGGTGGCTCACAACCATTGTAATGAGATCTGGTGCCCTCTTCTTTTTTTTTTTTTTTTTGGTTTTTCGAAACAGGGTTTCTCTGTATTGTTTTGGAGCCTGTCCTGGAACTCCGTAGACCAGGCTGGTCTCGAACTCACAGTGATCCGCCTGTCTCTGCCTCCCAAGTGCTGGGATTAAAGGCGTGTGCCACCAATGCCCGGCCTCTGGTGCCCTCTTCTAGCCTGCAGGCATACTTGCAGGCAGAACACTGTATACACAAATAAATAAATCTTTTTTTTTTTTTTTTTTGGTTTTACGAGACAGGGTTTCTCTGTTTTGGAGGCTGTCGGTCCAGCCTGGCCTTGAACTCACAGAGATCCGCCTGCCTCTGCCTCCCGAGTGCTGGGATTAAAGGCGTGCGCCACCAACGCCCGGCAAATAAATCTTTTTTTAAAAAGTGGTACATTTACACAATGGAGTACTACTCAGTAAGAAACAATGACATCCTAAAATTTGCAGGTGAATGGACAGAACTAGAAAAAACCTTCCTGAGTGAGGTAACCCAGACCCAGAAATACAAATATAGTATGTACTTACTCATAAATAGATACCAGACATAAAGCAAAAGATACCCAGCCTACAATCCACAAACCTAGAGAAGCTAGAATCCTTTTCCAGAAACAGATGGAAGCAGATGCAGAAATCCACAATTAACCAATGGGCCAAGACCATGGAGTACAATTGAAGTGAGGGAGGAGTGACAATATAAACAAAGGAGTCAAGACCATGATGGGGAAGCCCACAGAATCAGCTGACCCGAGGAAGTGAGAGATCACTGACTCTGGTCTGACAAATGGGGAACCTGCATGAGACCAAACTAGACTCTGTTAATACAGGTGACAATGGTGTGACTGGGACAATATATGAAACCTCTGGCAGTGGATCCAAGATCTAACACTAATGCACAAACTGACTTAGTGGAGCCCATTCTATATGGAGAGACACCTTGCCAAGCCTAGACACGGGTGTGGGGAGGTTGGAGGGAGTGGGGGGAAGGGGAGGAAAGGAGGGAGGGGAAACTGGGATTGGAATGTAAAAGTATAATAAAGAGCTGACGCAGAAAGTTGGCACCGAGAAATGGAGTTTAGGACTGGAGATGTGGCTCAGTTGGTAGAATGCTTGACTAGCATGGGTGAAGCCTGGGTTCAAGCCCCAGCACCACTTGAACAGGGGCTGAATGGCGGTGAATCAAGTACTCAGGGCAAAGAGGAGGGAGATGAGACGTTTAAGGTCATCCTCAACGATGTAGTGAGTTCAACTTCAAGGCCAGCTCACACTCTGTGAGGCTTTGCTGAGGAGTGCGGAAGGAGGAAGAGAGAGAATGTGAGCGAGTTAATTATAAAGGTGAGTTTCTCCTCCCTGACCACCATGAGACTTTGTTCCGCTTTGCTCCACTGCCCTCCCTTACCACCAACGCAGAACATTTGAGCCAAGCCATTGTAGCAGTGAGCCAAGTGTGTCTCTGGCTAAAGAGGATGGATTCGGTTCCTAGTACCCACATTGGTCAGCTCATGCCTGCCTTCCAGAAGAATCTGATGCCCCTCTCTCTCTCTCTCTCTCTCTCTCTCTCTCTCTCTCTCTCTCTCTCTCTCTCTCTCTCTCTCTCTCTCTCTCTCTCTCTCTCTCTCTCTCTCTCTCTCTCTCTCTCTCTCTCCCTGTCTCTCTGACACACACACACCTCTATTTTAAAATAAGTATTTCAATGTTTTTAAAATGTCATTTAGGCAAACAGTAGTATACCTTAACAAATTCTTAGAGCCAATAAATAACTTCGATTATCAAACAAGGCATATACTGTCAGCCAAACCTGAGCCTAGTTTGATCACCCCACCCAAAATACACAGCAGCACTGCCACACCATCATTGCCTGGGGTCAGCCCTGATCACAGTGACAGGTGGGATGTCTCCCAAACATCTCACCTGTGTGCTTATTTGGAAGGCAAATCTTCCTTACCTGTTTACCCTTCAGAAGGACCCTTGAGAACTCCTCAGAAGCACAGTACACTTTTAAAGCTAAAAGTTTCCTTTTGTCAATTGTTTTGTTTTCTCAAGACAGGGTTTCTCTGTGTAGCCCTGGCTGTCCTGAAACTCTGTAGACCAGGCTGGCCTCAAACTCAGAGATCTGCCTGCCTCTGCCTTCCGAGTGCTGGGACTAAAGGTGTGACCACAGCACCTGCTTTAAAAGTTACTTTTTTAGCCCAGCGGTGGTAGTGCACACCTTTAATTCCACACTTGGGGGGCAGAGGCAAGCGGATCTCTGAGTTCGAGGCCAGCCTGACAGCCTGGTCTACAGAGTGAGTTCCAGGACAGTCAAGTCTATTCAGTAAAACACTGTCTGAGGGGCGGGGGTCCTTTTTTAAAATCCTTTCTTCTAAG